ACTTTACATCTGTTATCATGTTTTAAAGGTAATCGTCTCAAATAAGTGCAGCTGAATGCTAAATATTTCACTGTGAATTGTGAGAAGTCCAAATTTATCATGATAATTACGCAGCCTGAAAAATTAAACATTGACGATGTATTAGGTCAACAGATTACACATAACTGTATTAGGTTACTTGAAAGCGATAATATTAAGTTGAACCAAGTATTACTTATTTAAACTTAATATTATTGCTTTCAACTAACCCAATACAGTTATGTTAAATATGTTACACATTTAATTAAAGTCAACGTTTAAGTTTTTTCCGTGTAATTATGGGATTTTGAAAAGTCAAGTTAAACCCTAGATCAGGGGTGTCCAAATTATTTTCACCGAGGGCCACATACAGAGAAATATCTGAAGGGCTGGGCCACTTAGGTGAGGTATATTGTCTCGTAAATTAAGTCATAAGTTAGCAAAATATAGGTAAATTAGGCTTGATACATGAATATGCTTTTATAAAAAAAACTCATTTATATAGTTGGCAGCTCATTCCTCAAAACAGAAACCTCAGAGTGGTTATAATAATATTAACACATGAATACTATTGTGTAATATATTGTTACATATATATTTAAGAAGTACAATATAAGAAAAGCACAAGTTTCATTTGTGGGCCGTATTTCATTATACTTTTGAATTTGCTGAAGGCTGATTCAAAATGGCCCGTGGGCCGCATTTGGCCCCCGGGCTAGTTTGGACACCCCTGCCCTAGATGAATGTCTGTGTCTCCACAGGGCTGAGCGCTGTCTCATCACATGCTGGACGTCAGTACCATTTTTTTTATGAAAAAGTGACCTTTGATGAAGCACAGAGATACTGCCGAGAGAAATACACAGACCTGGCCACAGTAGACAGCATGGAGGTTGTGACTCTCCTGAACAGCATGGGAGGGTATGTTGACGTGGTGAGTTCACTCTTTCATTTTAAAGCTATCTTGACTAATGCTGATGACAGGTCTGAAAATGATATAATCGACCTCTTAAAAGTAGTGTGAAGTGTTTTTATTATACCCCCGGCCCGTTGTGATTCACAAGACAGTGTGACCTAAGATTTCATCGACATAACTACGTTGTAGCTATGTAGGACAAATACAAGCCTTGAACCTTGAACATTTGAGCTGCAGTGGAAGGACTGTTACAAAAGGAGGGAATGTTGTATTAGAAAGACAGTAGGCCTGGAAATATCCACAGACAGCTAGAGCCTCACTTGTCCTTTAAATAAATTATTGTATATACTTTTACACAGAACAAGGACGAGTGATGATCCTTCATCACTGCTAAATGCCTTACAAGGCATGAAGACCTTTCTTTATACCTTTTGTAGATGCCGAAATGTTTGTTTAGCTGTTGTGTCATGGCCTACGCGTGTGTCCGGTGCCGTTTGCAGTTTAAAAATAAACTGAAGTCCGTTTTGTTGAGAAAAATAAAATCCACTTTTTTTTAATCCATGTTTCAACAAAGGTACAATTCACAGGTTTCTCTAAACTATAACGGCACTAAACGGTAAAGAAACAGTGTGACTCCACAGCTATACATCCGCTCCGACCCCCCACTTCCACTTTATATGTTTACCCGAGCTGCCCTTGGAGCACTCTTTTAAGGTGACTGTACAACACTACAAAAAAATACATAAAGGAAAATAAATGACAGGCAAAATAAAAATGCACCTTGCACCTGTGTTATTCTATATTAGCTTGTGTTATGTTTGTTTTATTCTCTTTGCTTCTTAAGGACTGTTTTTAAATATCATTTTATTAGGTTTGTCCGTTGCACTATTTCTTAATGCTCTTAATGTTTTTCATTTTGTAAAGCCCTTTGAAATGCTGTGTGTTGAAAAGTGCTATATAAATCAACGTACCTTTTACCAAGGCTGAACTCATAAAGGCAAAACAAATGTACCTTTAATTAAACATACATTTCCTTGAGCAACTTTAAAAGCTACATCACGGTGTAATTATTTATAACACAGTGAATATTGCTTTCAGCTGGCCTGGATAGGGCTGTACGATGACGTGGACAGCTGGAGCTGGTCACTGTCAGACACAAGCTTCTACAAACCGGGGGAGACGGAGTTCAGACGATGGGAGTCTGGAGCACCACAGAATACTTCATGGAAACGATGCACAAAGATTAGTTCTGCTACTGGATATTGGACTGAATCTGAATGTAGCACACTCTTAAGCGCAGTCTGCTTTGATGTCAGTGGTAAGAATATTAACTTGAGATTATTGTATGCCTTTAAAATCAAATCAAAAGCTTGTGAAATATAATAGGGGATTACAATGTCATATTTTATATAATGGCATTGATGGCAGGCTGTATGTTGTGATACCTCGACTCAGCACTTCTCTGTGGTCCATTTTCAGGTTTGAATGTGACGTATATCTACACCCAGGCAATGACATGGAACGAGGCCCAGAGCTACTGCAGAACAAACCACAAAGACCTGGCCAGTGTGAGAAACGAGGCAGAGAACCAGCAGATCAGGGATCAGGTAGGGACCAATTATTGGATTGGCCTTTCCAGAGAATCCTGGAAGTGGTCCGATAGAAGTGACTCCTCCTTTAGGCACTGGTCAGATAATGAACCTGACACCACGATGAAGACTTGTGCGGCTGCAAATTTCTACAAGTCTGGAAAATGGGCGGACGCGGGCTGTGGGTGGGAGCTACAATTCATTTGCTACAGACGTGAGTCAAATTCAAAGCTTCAACACAGCAAGTGATAAGAGTCTGCTGACAAAGAACAAACCATAGATGTTGTGACTAATGAATTGTGTTTGTGTTTCTAGAACCTGTTTCAATGCAAGTGATCAAAGTGAGGTTGCAGAAATCAAACTCCGATGTGGATCTGAACGACCGCGCTTTTCTGGATGAGTTGTTGGTGAAGGTAAGGAAGGTCATGTTTTCCACACTTATGCAACAAGCCGATTGATTCTCACAGCAGACTATACCTGCCACCAAATGAAGCAGGAAATGTATATATCATAATGATGCAATTTCTCTATGAATGTTTAAGATGAAGAAGGAAATGAGGGACAAGGGCTTGGATGACAACATCCAACTGAGCTGGAAGAAGCAGGCGGATGGACAAGTCTTCCATAAGGAGGAGGAGAAGAGGGATGAGCTTTAAAGCTGAATTGCTTTGTCGGCTTGCATCAGAGAAAAGTGTATTTCTTTCCTAAATGTCCTCATGCAAAATAATACAGCCGCAACAACGAGATGATTAATGAATTATTTACAATTATTTTGATAGAAGATTTGATGCTTTTCCTTGTAGTTCTTGATTGTTTTTGTTCATCATCGGCTTTGCCTGTAAGAAATAATACCATTTGTATTCTCTCACTGTTATGTCTCGGAATATCGTTAAATAAGTTATATAAAAATCAACTGTACCTATGCTTCTTATTCCCATGTTCAGGGATGCAAAATTAGGCTTTCAAAATCTGAGGATTTTATGCTTTACTCCGTCATATATGGTCATTAATGTAATATGTTTTGGGATCAGACCAAGTTGACTCCAGAATATCTTCAAATTATTTCATAGAAAATAACTAAATGTATCCTTATGCTGTCACCCTGATGGGGATGAAAACTTGAAACAATTTCCCTAAAATGCTATAACTGTAACATCTTCCAGGGAATTTTTTTTAATATATACTTTTTCCATCTTTCTAAATATTATGATTTAAAGGTTTCCTATCATGCAAAATGCACTTTGTGAGTGAATTAAAAAAAACTTTAAAAAACTATCTCAAATATGTTATTAAGTTAGAATTATTTTTATTCTATTATTTCTCACATGGTTGTTTAATGTGTCCCCCCATTTGCTCCAATAGCTGCCCCTAGTACCAGTTTGGGTTACATGCAGAGATGTGTGTGCTGTGCATGTGTGACATAATAAAGAGGGTTTCATCCTCCGATTCCAATTTGTGTGTTTCATTCATATATTTATTTAGTTTATTTCTTTGAATGTTCTTAATATTGAATACTGTCTACGATGGTGTAGCTCCAATAAAAGAGAATGGTCTATTCCTGATTATGAGCAATTAACGGCCTCATGCTCCGAATGTAAAGTTATGGATCAAATCTAATAAAGATAATCTTATAAGCAAAGGGCATAACAAAAACGATTGCTATAATATGAAGGCAGATAATATCATTTAACTAAATACTTTATTTTGTATGTATTTATTGAGTCAAACAAATAGGTTTTGTTTGAACCAGAGAAAAACATGCTTTCGTTAAAAAACTGGCATGTTTGAATAAAATGGTTTTCCACACAGCATGCAAAAATATAAATAAATAAAGATTAATGCTATTTAAAGGAAAGCTGGAATAGTATATTTTTTCTGGGGAAATAACACCTAAAATATGGGCAATTTATTGTAATTTTTTTCCTCTTTGACAAGTTGACATTATTCAATTCAATTAAAAGTAAACATTTGAAAAATTGGGTTTAAAGTCAGTCCATGTCTTTTCCCCAAAAATAAAATGTGGGAAAATTAAAGAAATGTCAAGAATAGTCAATATCAGTTTAAAATGTCTCTAGGGTCTATTTTACAGCATATACTGCGTGCAACATTTTGTATTAAACCACAAAAAAATGTGGAAATCAATCTTGAACATCATATTTAGTGACGTCATCTGAAGCCACCGGAAGTCTGAGTTATTAGCCCCGCCCCCCGCCCCGCAGTTAAGTCAATCCGACCTGAAGAGAAGGCGAGTCCACGGCTAAAAATATAATAGCTAACACAAGATGGCCGGTTTGCCTCGTAGGATTATAAAGGTACACTTTACACCACACATTGTATTTATACACTAACACACTCGGTCGTGGGGTATTGATAAGTGTATTTTGTGAGAGTATGAAAATACATTTACTACCAAATAACGTGTAATTCTGGCGTTAGCATTACTAGCATAGTTAGCTCATATCAAGCTAACTCGCTATTTTTTCTGTTTTGTTTTTCAACTTCCGTTCACTCCCTTCTTCTCTAGCTGTGTTGTATGTTCTCCACTAGATTTATTGTCGTGCTTTACGTGTAGTTTATACAACACTGGGTTGCTAATGTATGATATGAATCAACAAATGATGACATTTTGTCCTAGTCGCCATATGAATGGATTCGCTAATGTTAGCCATGCTAGCAGTTGTAGCTTTTGGGTGATTGGTACACATGTCTGGATGTGAAAACGCTGCCCTTGTGGTTTCAGAACATGAAAATGTTTTACTCAAAGCAACAATGTTCATTTAGTTTATTTTTGTATGATATGAAATGAAAAAATAGGGAGAAATGTAAGGGCCCTTTGCGTTGCGGTTTCCTCCATCAGGCCTCAAGCAGCCTGTTCCGCCACTTCGTCCAGCATCATATTTATCGGCTTTAGCAGGTTATTCACAGCCTTTACAACAACCTTAAGCGAAGTGAAAACACAACACAAGCTTCCATTATGGAGAGTTTGTTTTCGAATCCAAGTGAAGGAATATACGCTATTAACGACCCGATTTACCAGTGTACTCAGTGGTGTAAAGTAACTAAGTACATTTACTCAAGTACTGTACTTAAGTACTTTACTTGAGTATTTCAATGTTTTTCCTACTTTGTACTTCTACTCCACTACAATTGAGAGGTTCACATTTACTCCACTATATTTGTAATACCTTTAGTTACTTTACAGATGAATGATGTGAAATATAATCAAGTGTTAAATCAGACTTTAGTTCCACCTGGAGTAAATCCACAAGCTACCCTGCAGTATACAAAGTCATTCAAACTAGCTGCACCTTTAGCAGCTTTGAGAACACTTTAATGATCAATCATTATAAAACATTTCATATCTATTATTCTGAAATGGACCAATCTGCACAATGGCTACTTTAAGTATATTTTGATGCTAATACTTTTGTACTTTTACTTGTAACAGAGTATTCCTACACGCTGGTACTTTTACTTAAGTACAAGATCTGAGTACTTCTCCCACCTCTGAATTCCAGCATCTATTTATTGTTTTTCAAATCCCAACGAAGGCATGTGCGCTATTTGAGACGAGATTTAACCAGTCTACTTCCTGTTGACAGCAGATATCGGTGCACCTGCTTTTTTTGGAAATGCAGAAATTAAAAAAATGCTTCACTTCCTTTTTTGTGCCCATAGTGTCGTTGGCCTACTGTATTGCAGTAAAACTCAGAATTACGCCACCATACAAACGTGTATCATCTGTTACATCCTAAAATAACTGGGGACTGAAATAACACGTCTATTATTTAGAAAATTAAACAAAGCCTATTGAAATAATGAATTGGCTGTCCATTAAGTGCTACAAATCCAATGGTACAACTTTAAATACCTGCTGGTTTAGTAAGCTTTGTGTAGTGGTAACACCATATATTTTGGATAGTAGGCAGACAAAACAAGCAGTATAAAGACCTTACTTTTTTAATTTTTGAAATATTTTCTGGCATTTAAAGCAAGAACAAAGCAGATTAATCTACAATAAAAACCATGTTACTAGAATCCCTAATTAATGTTTTTTTTAAATCAGCAAATTAGCCATTTAATGTTTGTCATCGTACTGTCAAACCAGCAGTCAAACACCTTCTGAGTTTCCGTGTTCAACAACAGTTTGTGGAATGTGGCTTTGTCTGAATGTGGGCAAGGCTTGTACAAGTGTGTGTGACTAAGCAGGGTGAAAGTGTGTCCCGCCATTCATTATCAACTGGACAATCCACACCCACAGCAATGTTTTTATACTCGTAAATGTCAACAAACGTATTGTGTATTTCTGTTCTGCTCAGGAGACGCAGCGGTTGATGGCAGAGCCGGTTCCTGGGATCACGGCCACGCCAGATGAAGGGAACGCACGCTACTTCCATGTGATCATCGCAGGGCCTCAAGACTCTCCTTTTGAAGGAGGCACATTTAAACTTGAACTATTTCTTCCAGAAGAGTATCCCATGGCGGCTCCCAAAGTGCGATTCATGACCAAAATCTACCACCCCAATGTTGACAAACTGGGAAGAATATGTTTAGACATTTTGAAAGGTAAGAAACCTTATCATAGGGAAACTAACGTGTTATCTTTCCTTTAATCTGAAAACCTTATGCACAGAAGGATTGAAATAGAATTTTTGTTTTTAATAAACCTTAACATTTGCACTTATAAGCATAATCATAGAAAGTTAACGTGTAGGAAAAAATCAGGGATATCTGATGTAGAAAATCAGAGTAGAGATATTTTTAGCTGTCTGTTGATTATGGAGCTGCAAAGAGTCAATGTCATTTGTTTCATTGTAATATCAAATGTGTTGCCTATTTGCAGTCCTGTTGCATTTACATCAAACCTGACATATAATCAAAGATACCGTTTTTATCGCCACAATCAGAATAAAGTCAAAGACGAGAAATGTAATTTCCCTCATGATATGAGATGGCTAAGGAGCAGCTGTTCTTCACAATGTATCCTTGGCGAATAAAGCCTGAGGAAACAGAATTGATTACAACCGTTAAATCAAGTTTTGAGGTAAACAACGTCACGGTCATGTTTACCTGACAAGAGCCGAACAGCGTCGCTAAACTTGCCTTTAAGTTATTAAAGAATATAATGGAACAGTCTCTGATTCACAGACAAACTGATCTGCTTTTAATGTTTGTCCCTAGCTAGGGTTGGGAACCGAAACTCGGCACCGTGTACCCATACAAAATACACAATTTCGGTTCTGCTTAACGGTTCCTAAACGCGGTAGACCCTGTATTCCAGCGGGTCCGTCTGCATCGCGGTGACCCGGTGGAATACAGGGCGGACCTGGAGAATCACAGAACGGCCGGCTCGGTACGCTGACGGCCGGCACCGCCCTTAATTCTTTTAAACGGCACCGTGTAAGTTGCGCTGACAGGTGACAGAGGTCCACAGTTGCCCCGCAGCGAGGCTCCCCCGCCCTCCCGTAGACAGTTCACGAGCTCAGTCACTTCATGACACCAAAGATGGATGCTCTAAAGTGAGGCTCCACTACACTAAGAAAGAAAAAGACAAGGCACAGTGTAATGCCTGTTAATAGCTTGCCACAGGCATAGCTCAGTTAAAGTAAAGCACAGCTATTGTGCGATACATTTGTATTGCATGTATATTTTTTATTTGTAAAAAGTTAAAGCTTAAAAGAATAAAGATATTTTTGTTATCTAAACATTTGACAATTTTGGAATCGAAACGGGGAATCGATAAAAACCGGAATCGATAAGCAGAACCGGAATCGGAATCGATACATTTCAAACGATACCCATCCCTATCCCTAGCCCATATTTCTATTTGATTTGAGTACTTTTACAAGAGCCCGTCTGGCTTTCCTTTATTACGTTTCCTCTCCAGTTCTCTTTGCCTGAAGTTACCCTTTAGATTTTAAGCGTCTTCTCTTTGTGCATCTCTTTCTGAACTTCTCTTGCAGATAAGTGGTCTCCAGCCCTGCAGATCCGCACAGTGTTGCTATCTATCCAGGCGTTATTAAGTGCTCCCAACCCAGATGACCCCCTGGCAAACGATGTTGCAGAGCAGTGGAAGAAAAACGAAAGCAATGCCATTGAGACAGGTGAGGATTGACGTCTTGTTTATATCCATCAAAGCACCCAGGGTCAGCTGAAATGAAAAAAATAATGTTAATGTCAACAGAAAAACGTGGCCGTATGGCACAAAGGTTCAAATTGATGCAGTTATTAAATCTTCAAGTTGTCTGACTGAGAGAACTTCTCTAAATCCAGAGAAACAAAGTCCAATGACGACGGTTCTTTTAGTAGCTCACAGTTCTGAGTCCCGTGATCTCCGTGTTGTTCGGCCGTGTAAAAGAAGCTCTGCATAGGGGTTACTAAACACTGTAACAGGTTTCGCATAAGGGATGTTAAACGTACTACAAACAATGGTGTCAGATGGCCAGGCAGTT